ATGTATACAGTTTCTGCTGGTGACAGACAAACTGTTGTCTTATGTTTCAAAACTTTAATCAACATCAGAGAGACAATTTGTCTGTTTATATTAGTGAGCTTCTGAAGTGCATTATCACATTCTTAAGTCCTGTTACAAATTACAATCCTATTATCAGAAACAGAATTTTCCTCTGCATTTACAACTCATTCTCTTTGGTAAAAAAATCTGTACAGGAATGAAAGAGGGAGACAGACTTTAATAGTCATTTCTATTCAATGTCTTTTTCTGTAAAAACCTTTTGCTAATTACACAGTTATCCTAATGGCCAATCAGTTAAAAATCATTTTATGTGAATCTGTATACATGTAGTACCATTAACACCTAAATTTGTTTCAACAAAATATCTTGTATGCCTTTAGCAGTCAAGTCACTACTGTTTTAGATATGACTGCAGATTCACTAATTCCATAGTCATTACTTTGCACCTTATTTTCTGTGATAATTGTTACCTAATAACCTGCTCAACACTGCACGAGAATTGTCGTCAAGCAGATATGGATGTACATACAGTGCAGTTAACCTTCAGAACAAAAATGTCAAAATATCTCTCAAAGATCAAATCTTTAAAAAAAGGACAAAGCAATACATTCAAGACATTATCACCAGCAAATCTGATGGACAGACAGACAGTATATGTCAAGTTCTGCAGCAGCGCCCATTAAGACACAGAGGCAACAGTCCCAATCCTATTAGTAAAGCCTGGATCACTGGATTCATCAAATATTCAAAGGGCAGGCTCCACCTGGTCAGAGGTCTCTCCTGTTTCATAACTCTCAACACTGAAGAGGTCCTGATGGTCAGTAACAAGGAGAAGACCATCCGGCCATTACTAACAAGCCTGGTACACTGATAATGAAGTATGTACTAAGGTACTAGTGGGAGGGTAGAAATTAGATTTTTTTTCAAAGTATTTGCTGAATCAATAATGATCAGCAGATCATATTTGTCAAGTGCTTTCTCATTTCTGGTCTGTATCTAAATAACTTTCCTGTATATAACCAAGAGATGTGATGCTTTAATAGTTTCATCAGTAGTACTTATTTGTGCCTGAAGTATAGATGTAGTAAGGGCAGAGTGAGTGTGAGAGTAAAGGAAGAACACGTACAGTGGTACCTACCTCTAGATCGTTGAAGAAGAGGTGGTTATCAGCCAGGTTGAAGATCATCTCCTCCATTCTCAAGCCCAGAGCCACAGCCTGCTGGGGGTCCTGGGAAATACAAGAAAAGGGAAACATATTTTAACAATAAAATAAACATACTTTACTTTCCATTGTCAGAAGTAGACTATATATAACATTGAATAACTCATTTGAAATTTTCAATTCATAAACAAATGACATTGATAATATGATAAGATAGAACAGACAATATTCTGATCTGCTTTTGGACGAGACATGAACTGAAAAAAAGTTAATCATCATTATCACGATCATCATCATCACTATCATCATCGGCTGCAATACAGCAATATATAGCCACCTGCCTAGTTAGAGGCCAGATTGGTTGTTTCTGTACCAAAAGCTTTGAGCGAGCTTGTAAAAGAATTGTCGCTGGAAGATCTGGACATTTCCCCTTTCACAGACCTGACCTCCGTGCCAGTCTTGTGTACTTCTGGACAAATTGCCAGTCCATTAAGGAAAGGGGTTCAAGTACATTAAGGCTGTACAGATCCCCACGGTACACCTTCTGGTTATCGTGTTTGCAACACAACAGAGCCATCGAAAAACCTTCTGTGAGGTTCCTAACTTCACAGGGAACCACTTGGAAAGTTTCCAGAGCAAACAAGTCTGAAACTCTATTTCCTGCTCTCTCTCTTTCAAGATGACCACAAGAAAGTCAACTCTTTCCCCGCAAGAAGTGTGTGATGCATTCAGCACTACCCTAAAAAGGCATTCATGAATAAGAATGATGGAATTGTTTAATACTGGACTCTGAACAGGTTACTATTTCTTATGTCTACAGCTCCAAGCACATATACAATGTACTGACTGTGTACATGTTTTAGCTGGTGTGTTGCACTAAACGGTGGTTATACTGGCTACACAGATACAGACTGGACAGGCCAAGTGAAGGCTTAGTGCCTCTGTGTATAATGTAAGTGTTGTGATGTCTCTAATGTACTTTTGCTAAGTTGACTCGTGTTTACTTTTTGTTAGGTCAACACAATTCAGTTGTACCATCGTACTACTGCTACGTTGATTTTTATGAATAAAGTTAAAGTTAAAGGCGTACCCTGCAGTAAGCGTCCCCAGTGTCTGTGATCATGAGCGTACATGTACATGTACATGGCACCCCCAGGATTGAGACAGAATTCTCAGAAAGCATGACTGAAGGCCTGCATGGGGGGGGTAGTGATTACGAATTACGCAAAATTTTTGCCGCCTATTACGAATTACGTTAAAGTTTCAGAGCTGATTACGACTTTACGATTTGCGGCTAATGTCCAATTACGAATTACGTTGATTTTTGCGGAGGCTGCCTACGAATTACGAAGTCTAAAACGGCCTGATTACGCCTTACGAAAAAGGGCTTGCAGGCCCTCTTGACTGTTGCCTGGCATGTGTAAGCTGTGGACTCTCCCACAGATAATCCACGTCAGGGCACTCTGTGTCTTACATGCACATGGCTGGATTTCTGGGATCAACTGGACTTCAACTTGAAGTTCTCAAAGGTAATACTCAAATCAGACATGTCTGGCCAAAGGAAAAACATCTGCATACATGTATTCTTTACTGTACATTCTGACATTGCTTATAATGAAGTATTGGCATACCTCAAAGTATGGAAATAAAAATGCCTGGATTTGCCTTTCAATATTAAGGTATATTTATTTTATTGTGTTAATGAAACTGTGTATCAATCTTTTGTCTATCAGGAAAAATAAAGTATTGTGTCACCAATTACGATGATCTCTCCAAGACTTGTGCCCATCAAG